GAGTGCTGTGGCATTCGAGAAATTTAAAGAATGATAAGCCGTTGCTAAATTGATTTGCAAATCTTAAAGGCTAGCTACTCTAATTTCTCTGATGAAATGGCTCAAAGGAATAAGAATTTATGACAAATTTGTATGATAGAGGTATTAGAGTGGTAAGATGAAATGCTCGACAGTCACATGCAGATAAGCCTGTAGGGTTTTTGCAAAACACAGCTGAAGAAATGGGAATCAAAAAAGATATGTGAAATACTTACGTTTGCCAGTAACCCACTTAACATGTGTCAAGTATACAGTCCTTCCTATTGCTTGACCATTATTCGCTTGTACTATCGTTTTGCGAAGATTTTCACCGAGAAACCGCAACGATGAGCGCATTGCAATCAATCTAAAAAAAGTTCCAAGGAAATTCAGAATATGACAGCAAACGACGAAGTGACATATAGTAGTGCAGCGCTGAGGAGAAACCGATTCGTAGTTTTGTTTGAAAGGAATGAAAAGGAAGCCAATCCTATTGGCTTAAACATCACTTACGAAGACATTATGTTCTACCTACCAAACAAGTGGCATGCCACGTCACAAGACTCAGGGTTTAATAAAAAAAGTAATTGCGTGTGGCTGAAGACCGACCCCTCGAATCACATGCAATTCGATGACGTAAATGAGTGCAAAAAGATACTACGTATTTACACACTGAAAAGCGTACATCTCGTGGTACGTATGGTTGTTGGAAGGTAGTTAATTTTCTAGTAATTTTCAAATTGTTTAAGTTTTTTCATATTTCTGATGCTTTGTGCAGCTCTTCAACACTCTTAACATCATTTGTTACAGGATGATACATGAATTGTTTATCGATTAGAAGTGGTATTAAAAATTATCTTCTAAGAAAAATTACATAATTAGTTACAAACTGTCAGTTAAGAGTGTTTTTATGCAAACCGCGCTCTTTGGAAAGAAAAAACAGTGAGTCACGAATGCCTGTTGTTGTGAGTGACATCTAGAAAAAACTGAAAATAATACAACCTACAAAGCAGTGTCCGGGCAAATCTTCGACTTTGGATTTTCTACCTTTTGGACCACTTTGTTGTGCTGAACACGTAGAGCACTTCAATGACTGTGAATTTTCAAAAAAAAAGATTTTGGGCCTTTTTGGATTAATAGGGAGTAGTGGAGGGACGATTTCAAAATTCCGTTTGGTCCGGAAACGGTGGCATACCTTTCTCGCTAAAGAGCAGTGCTTTTAAGAGAAGCCAAACGCTGGCGTTGCTGAGGGAGAAAACACAGAGTAGGCGAAGTTAACTAAAAAAGGCTGACTGACCTAAACGTCCAGAGCACTTTTCTCGGTCTTGTAACAATGATGCAAATTTAACT